GCTTTCTCTCCCCGCAGCTCCACATGAGGATCCATGCGGCATATGGATCTACTAAGGACATCTCTGTGTACAGCTCCATCAGCCTCCCGCCTACGCACATCTACATCGTCGGCCGACCCACCAAGAAGCTGCAGAGCCAGTGTCAGGTAGGAGCCAGCTTGTCTGAGTCCTGGAGGTGCTGCCAAGGGCCTCCCATGGGAGGGCGATGGGAATTTGGTCACCGTAGAACTGGTGACTGAGCTAGTGTTTGCCAAGAGGACAGGAACTGTCCCACAGACCAGGACCCATCACGTCTGTCTGAGTGGCTCCATGTCTTGTACATCACCCCAGAGAACCTGGTACAGCAAACACGTTTGGCTGCCAGCGGCTATCAGGGAAACGTGTCCCATCCCTCTAACGCCTGCCCTCATCCCTCTTGTCTCACAGTTCATCACGGAGGGGTACGCAGCCCACCTGGCCCAGCTGGAGTACAACCACCGCTCGCGCCCCGCCAAGAACACCACACGCATGGCGCTGCGGAAAGGCAGCTTCGGGCTGCCCAGCCAGACCGAGTTCCTGCGCAAGAGGAATCACCTGCTGCGGACCATCTCCTCCCAGCCTTCGGTCACTGGCAGCAGCGCCGGCCACCGCCCCGAGCGCACCCAGAGCCAGTCTGACAGCGACAAGGAGAGGGACAGGGAACGCAGCCAAAGAAGCATGAGCATCGCCACGGGGTGCTGGGGCCGGAGCACAGCATCCCGGCTGGACTCTGGCCTCTTGGGGCAGAAGTAGCCAGGTCAGAGCCAGCGACTGTCGGCTGCAACCACCGGAGGAGAAAACAAAAGGAAAGAGGGACGAGGCCAGTGTTACGGGCTGGAAGGGTAAATATGGTGCTACTCTAATAACATCATGGTATTCTGGGAAGAGACGGGATGTTCCCCACGCAGAATGTGCAGGCCTTGCAGCGGGAGCGTCAGGTTTGTGCAGCATGAGCCCAAGGAACAGCTGGAAGTTGGGGGGGGAAAAGTCTCCAGGTCAAGATCGCGCGCTCTCCTGCCTCCTTCTCTTATCCAGGTTTAGTGACTGTAAATACGTGCCTCCTCGCCTTGTTAGCCATCGCTCCGATACGCGTGACCGAGTGCTGTCCTCAGAGCCACAGGAACAGGGGATGAGGCTGGGGGAACTTGTTCGTGGTTGTCCCAGGAGTCAGACTGAGGTGCTCTGCCAGTGCCGGCGCGGGGTGGGTTTGGGGTTCGATAAGCATGCCGTTTCCCCGGCACAGACAGCCCCAAGCGAGGGATTTATCATGGGCTGTGCCAGGCAGAGCAACCGGGAGCTTTACCTGTACAAAGAGCTTCAAGTTCAGCCACTTTCTCAAGGAATACATGCAGTAGCAAAGCATAAACATGTGTCGATGCTGTTGGTAGAGGCAGAATGTCGGCAGGTTCACGCCCAAGAAAGTGGGGTCATTATTATTACTGTTATTTTTTAAAGAGACCTTTTAGAAGCCGATGGAATTTAATGCGTTTACCTATTAAAAGAGGAATACAAGCTATTTTGTTTGAGCTGTTACAAACCTCAGACACTTAATTTGCTGTTAAAGTCTCCGAATATCCTCGCTATATATTCTTTCCAAAAGTAACTACCGTATATTTGGAAGCCGCTGAAGGCACCCAGCAGCTAGATTGCATTGCAGTTCCTCTCATCCAAATGCAGGGTCTGACTCTCTCAACACCCACCTCTGAGACGTTTTCTTCTTCCCAGGTTCTCTCCAAGTTCAGTAGCAGCTTTCATGGGAACTAGACTCGCTTCTTTTACCTGTAGTTACTGAACTGTAAAACCTCATTGTTTTTTGCACTGATGATTTTTAGAATGGAAACCTGTTACCATCTCATGTAGCTACACCTAACTGTTTGTAGTGCATGACAATGAAATATCGCTAAGCCAGGGTGTGTGTGTATATATATAAATATATGCATATACATATGCACACACACGTGTAATATTATGTATATATTTAAAAAAAAAAAAAAAATCTGTGCAGAAGTTTTTCCAGCAGTAAGGAGACTGTAAGGAAGTGTGCCAACGATGTCAGGCAACCTTAAGAAAAGGCCATATCTTAATTTTCCTGGTGTGTTTCTCAGTGGATGTGCCTGAGCTGATGGTTTGTGTGCTGCTGGCGCGAGCTGGGGCTGGGTGCGTGGCAGAGGGCAGCTGCCAGTGCACGGGGCGAAGCGCTCGCTGCTGGCTGGCACCCCCGGTGACACCGGGACGTGCGCCGTGCACAGTGCAGGAACGGGAGCGCCTTGCTCTGCAGCAGCGGAGGAGAACAGTGCCTAGAGCGAGGGCTTGCCAAAAAGCCCCTTAGTCCTGTCCCTCCCGGGTCAGCCTGGCCCCGGTGAAGGGCCCGGTTCCCTCCTTGCACACACCTCCCGGGGCGGAGGGGCATCCGCCCCGGGGGATCCGGGGTGCCCATTTACAGACTCCAGTTGGCCTCTTCACGTGGAGATTTTATAGTCCTACCGAGCTCCCTGACTATGTGTAACCCTGCTTTCCCCCACCACACTTTCCTGTCTTTGTATCACTTTCTACTTATGAGGATCTTATTTATAACAAAGAATTTTTTAGACTGGCTGCTTCATTTTATTAACTGTTTCAATATGAAGTGCAGGACGGCCGCACTGAGACACACAGCACTGTGAACGCTGCTCTGCTAATTGGCTCTGGGCCACGGTAGGCAAATCTAAACTCATCAGACATCCAAGGTAGATCTCACGTGTTCGTGGCGCTGGAGGGTCGAAGCGGAGGCAGAGGAGGGACAGTGCTGAGCTGCCGACGGCATCCAAGCCCGTGGAGCGCTCAAACCCAACTGCCCGCCCGCCGCCCAGTGCATCTCCCACGTCTTGCAGCCTGCCTGCAAAATGTTTAACCGCTTCTCTTTGAGAATTACTCAATTACAGAATGTATCTGATGACTTTTGTTACCGAGAACTGACTTCCCTTTCTGCCGACTCAGCTTAGCTCTCTCTGAATGTACATCCAGAGCTTACTGGGTTTAAAAACAATGTGAATTGTCCCAGCTTCTCGCTAGTCGAATGTTTTATCAAACAGATGCCATCTGCGTAGGAAGCCAAGCCACAATCCATCCTGTGAAGTCACCAAACCACATCACACAATAATTTCTGCAAATTTGGATATGGCCTTTGCAAAATTCAACTTTCCTCCATGAAAAGGCATGATCTGTACATTTTCCAATGCTGACAAGATGTTCACATTTTCTTATGTGTAGATAGTGTAAAACAGAGGCAAATGTAAATGTTCAACGTAAAAAGTGGATATATAAAATTGAAAGTTATTTATTTATGTAGAGGGAAAAAAAATGTCTGGAGGGACTGGAACCTTCAGGGTTTATTAATATTTAAAAATGTAGCTTTTTGTTTCAGGCATTATGTACAAAGCAATTATTTTATGGACCAAGTTCAATGTAACTGTCAATGAATGCAGAAGTGCAATATTATACTCACCTCTCCATCACTTCATGTTTTAAACAGCTACTAACCAGTTAGACTGACAATCATAGCACCTCCGTCCTCATCCTTTGTTGAGCTGCTTGAAACTTGCCCGGGTCCTTTCCCTGGCCCCCATCTGTTGCCATTGTACGGATCCAACACGGAGAAGCAATTGTAGAGCAGGACCTTTATTGCTGCAATAATACCAGATGAGGTGGGTGTAGTTACCGGGAAATATGCCAATAAGTTTTTTTCTCCGCCGATTCAGTCCATCACAGTCTACATCAATCTATCCTCAGCCGCCCCCATCCGGCACTCATCTATCTGAAGCAAAGATCAACGTGCTACTCACTCAAAGAACAATAGCAATAGTTTAACTCTGTGTTTATATCCTGTTTGTTCCGAGCTGTTTTGGAGAGCAATGCATGTGACCCGATGCCTTTCCACATCTATGGAAGAGGATCCGTTTGGATGCAGTGAGGGAAAGATGAATGTATATTCCATCCTTACCTAAAGGGGCACTGTCAGGTTAAAGACCTAATTTGTCTTTGTTACAAGTAACTTTTTTGCTTCAAAACGAAAGAATATCAAGTTTCTTGCGCTCCTCCCTATCGCCGTTGTCGGGGCAGCCATCGGCGCGACCGGTGGCAGGCAGCCCACGTCCTGTTCTCACACACTAGCACAATACAACCTGCGCTGCACAGGCTGCCTTGTTTGGTTTTTGGGGTGGGTTTTTTTTTTTGTTTCCATGGGAATCAAACTCTGGAGCTCACGTTTTTTATAAAAAGCAGCTTTTTGTATTACTGCACTATTGGGCCAGACTTTCTACCTGACACTGTCCCTTTAAAGTCTTTTAAAAATAAAGAGGAGCCCATGCATTCCCTCCGAGTTGTTTCCTGGGTTTGCTAGATCACTCGGTCAGATGAGGCGAAATTCTAATACCAAAAACGTTTACAGTGTCCGATACGCGAGCCGAGAGCAGTAACTAGCCAAAGGGTTACTAACAAACTCCCGCTCCGCCCAGCAGCCGCTGTGCTTGCTGTAGCAGCCCCTTCTTCAGGTATCGCCACCGTTTGCTGCATTTCCTATTAGTTCTAGAAGCCTTATGGTCCCTTCCCCGTCCTCGGCACCCTCTGCCTGTTGATACCCTCGACTGTCAATTTTATATTCCAACGATGTTAGTTATATTTTATTTATAAAAAATTGCTTTAGGGGTAACAGACGTGTGTGGGGAACCACTGGAGGGCATGCCCGAGGGCGCCGGCAGCCGTGCTGGGTACGCCCCTGTGTGTACAGTACCGTGCCGATGACTCGCTTGTGTGTGACAAACCTTCTGTACAACTTCCTTCTCCTCCTTGCTGTTAGTGCATCGTTCCAATGCCTGGGTGTGCTTTGTGTACAGTATCATTGAGCCTGGCTGCTTCATTTTATTAACTGTTTCAATATGAAGTGCAGGACGGCCGCACTGAGACACACAGCACTGTGAACGCTGCTCTGCTAATTGGCTCTGGGCCACGGTAGGCAAATCTAAACTCATCAGACATCCAAGGTAGATCTCACGTGTTCGTGGCGCTGGAGGGTCGAAGCGGAGGCAGAGGAGGGACAGTGCTGAGCTGCCGACGGCATCCAAGCCCGTGGAGCGCTCAAACCCAACTGCCCGCCCGCCGCCCAGTGCATCTCCCACGTCTTGCAGCCTGCCTGCAAAATGTTTAACCGCTTCTCTTTGAGAATTACTCAATTACAGAATGTATCTGATGACTTTTGTTACCGAGAACTGACTTCCCTTTCTGCCGACTCAGCTTAGCTCTCTCTGAATGTACATCCAGAGCTTACTGGGTTTAAAAACAATGTGAATTGTCCCAGCTTCTCGCTAGTCGAATGTTTTATCAAACAGATGCCATCTGCGTAGGAAGCCAAGCCACAATCCATCCTGTGAAGTCACCAAACCACATCACACAATAATTTCTGCAAATTTGGATATGGCCTTTGCAAAATTCAACTTTCCTCCATGAAAAGGCATGATCTGTACATTTTCCAATGCTGACAAGATGTTCACATTTTCTTATGTGTAGATAGTGTAAAACAGAGGCAAATGTAAATGTTCAACGTAAAAAGTGGATATATAAAATTGAAAGTTATTTATTTATGTAGAGGGAAAAAAAATGTCTGGAGGGACTGGAACCTTCAGGGTTTATTAATATTTAAAAATGTAGCTTTTTGTTTCAGGCATTATGTACAAAGCAATTATTTTATGGACCAAGTTCAATGTAACTGTCAATGAATGCAGAAGTGCAATATTATACTCACCTCTCCATCACTTCATGTTTTAAACAGCTACTAACCAGTTAGACTGACAATCATAGCACCTCCGTCCTCATCCTTTGTTGAGCTGCTTGAAACTTGCCCGGGTCCTTTCCCTGGCCCCCATCTGTTGCCATTGTACGGATCCAACACGGAGAAGCAATTGTAGAGCAGGACCTTTATTGCTGCAATAATACCAGATGAGGTGGGTGTAGTTACCGGGAAATATGCCAATAAGTTTTTTTCTCCGCCGATTCAGTCCATCACAGTCTACATCAATCTATCCTCAGCCGCCCCCATCCGGCACTCATCTATCTGAAGCAAAGATCAACGTGCTACTCACTCAAAGAACAATAGCAATAGTTTAACTCTGTGTTTATATCCTGTTTGTTCCGAGCTGTTTTGGAGAGCAATGCATGTGACCCGATGCCTTTCCACATCTATGGAAGAGGATCCGTTTGGATGCAGTGAGGGAAAGATGAATGTATATTCCATCCTTACCTAAAGGGGCACTGTCAGTCAGGTTAAAGACCTAATTTTTGTTACAAGTAACTTTTTTGCTTCAAAATGAAAGAATATCAAGTCTCTTGCACTCCTCCCTATCGCCGTTGTCGGGGCAGCCATCGGCGCGACCGGTGGCAGGCAGCCCACGTCCTGTTCTCACACACTAGCACAATACAACCTGCGCTGCACAGGCTGCCTTGTTTGGTTTTTGGGGTGGGTTTTTTTTTTGTTTCCATGGGAATCAAACTCTGGAGCTCACGTTTTTTATAAAAAGCAGCTTTTTGTATTACTGCACTATTGGGCCAGACTTTCTACCTGACACTGTCCCTTTAAAGTCTTTTAAAAATAAAGAGGAGCCCATGCATTCCCTCCGAGTTGTTTCCTGGGTTTGCTAGATCACTCGGTCAGATGAGGCGAAATTCTAATACCAAAAACGTTTACAGTGTCCGATACGCGAGCCGAGAGCAGTAACTAGCCAAAGGGTTACTAACAAACTCCCGCTCCGCCCAGCAGCCGCTGTGCTTGCTGTAGCAGCCCCTTCTTCAGGTATCGCCACCGTTTGCTGCATTTCCTATTAGTTCTAGAAGCCTTATGGTCCCTTCCCCGTCCTCGGCACCCTCTGCCTGTTGATACCCTCGACTGTCAATTTTATATTCCAACGATGTTAGTTATATTTTATTTATAAAAAATTGCTTTAGGGGTAACAGACGTGTGTGGGGAACCACTGGAGGGCATGCCCGAGGGCGCCGGCAGCCGTGCTGGGTACGCCCCTGTGTGTACAGTACCGTGCCGATGACTCGCTTGTGTGTGACAAACCTTCTGTACAACTTCCTTCTCCTCCTTGCTGTTAGTGCATCGTTCCAATGCCTGGGTGTGCTTTGTGTACAGTATCATTGTGAGTTACACAGATTAAAGAAATGGGAAGGCTCTTCTCTGTCTGCTTTTTTGGGGGAGACTCTAGAAACAGACAAGTCACAAAACCCAACACATGAGCAGGCGCCAGTTTAATGGGGTTACAGCGATGAACAGAACGTGGAGACCCTCCGCGCAGATCCGTCCTGCAGGACCCATTTGTCCTTTTTTTTTTTTTTTTTTTTTTTTTTTTTTTTTTTTTTTTTTTCCTCCCAGTCTGTCGATTTATGGACTTTGCAGTGGGGGAAGGCCAGCTGTTTGCTTCACAGCAGCCATGGGCACGGGTCCTGAGAAGCCCAGAACCCTAACGCTGCCCGGGGCCTGCGCTGTGGGGAAGGGACACAAGTCGCATGCAGGAACAGACGGCAAGGCAAAGCCACCCCTCTGCAAAGCGCGCCTGCCCGCACCCCAGTGCAGTGTGCCAGGGCTGTGCTTCCCCAGCGCCACCCGATAAGATGAAGCTGCAGAAAAGCTGAGTAAAGCCCCTGGGGCACAGCGGAGAGTGGCACTTGACATTGCAGAGGAGAGCTGCAGCCTGAGCAGAGCCACGCAGCGGCACAGCCGCTCCTCTTTGAGCCGGGTGGGTGAGTGCAAAGGGCCCATGAGCCTGCAGCACCAGGTAAGCACGGGGCATGCAGATCCAGCAAGGAAGGGGCCAAGAGCAGCCCCTGAAGGGAAGAAGTGGCATCCAGCTGCATATTTTGCAGCCCCAGCACATACCCTGTCCTGGCCGCAGCGCTGGCTCCTGCCCACCAAAGCCCAGAGCTGAGGGGCAGCAGCACCGCTAGGTGCTCAACACCAGCGAGCCTGTCCCCTGGGTGCTGCTGAGCTCCTCCGGCCTCGAGAGGGGCATCGGGGCAAGCAGGTCCAAGTGCATTACAGCCACGCTGGCCCCAGTCAGGAGAGGGAGGGGAGAAGCTGTTTACTGGGAGATGAACCATTAAAGTTGCTCTCCTTCCCAGTCAATAACTTACAGAGCGGATGGAAACTGCCCCTGGGGAAGAATCCTGACGCAGTGCTGTCTACGTGATCCAGAGACAGAGGCTCACGCCTGGGCTGGCGCCAGCAGCAGGACAGGCTCCCGGCATGGCTGGCGCTTGCGCGCTCACTGCAGCATCCCCGTCCTCACCTGGAAGGCCAGCCCGTCCCCCCGGGTGGCTTGCTGCAAAGGGAGAGACACGGGTGCTCACAGCACCGCCTGCCCAAAGATGAAGGACCACCAGCACCCACCCGCGGGGGCCCCTGCGGAGCTGCCAGGGCTCGGTTTGCCCTGGTAGAGTTGGTGAGGTCCCCAGGGAGGCAAGACAACGCCTCTGGGTGCAGCAGCTCCCCGGCTGCGCCCGCCCACCCACCAGCAGCGCGTGCTGGTGGCAAGTCCCCACTACCTTGTTAATCTCCTTGTGTCTCTCCTTGCTGACGATTTCTTCTAGTACTTCTCCGTCTCCCTTAATAAGCCTGGAAGACAAACACAGGCCCGTGAGCCGTGAGGGCTACTGGCAAGTTCCTGCCAGCCACGCTGTTTCCCAGCCGCAGAAGGCGCTGGCCCCCCCCAGCCCATCCCGAGGGCTGCTGCTGTGCCCCAGGTCAGGCACGCAGCCACCAGCTCCCTCACAGCGGGACGTGCCCGGGACCAGGTGCTGGGCTGATGCACCTCGAGGCAAGGGAAGTGACGACCTACCCCTGAAGTTGCATTAGGTGACTTTTTCCTGGCCTTACCAAGCTTGAATAGCACGGCAGGCTCTTCCATTGCTCTTGTGGGATTAATGTCACCATGCTGCAGCAAGGACAGGTGTGATCCCCTGAGAAATCAGCATCCCCCTGCATGGGCCAGCCGTCCCTGCCCCAGGCTGCGGGCACTGTCTGCTGTGTGCACAGCCAGTCACGCTTGCACGCGGCAGGAGAAAACACTCGCAATAAAAGCACCTCCTGCCACCCCACCACCTGCAGAGGCTTCGCTGTCAACGGCAGCGGCCCCAACCCCTGCAAAACCCCTTCCTTTTTTCACACAGAGTTCAGGTCTGGTCCTGGCTGCCCCAGGAAACCGCAGAGCCATTCAGAAACAGGAGCCGGTTTGGGCCTGAAAGGCAGCCAGACCGGGGAGCATCTTGCTGAGCAAATTCCAAGCAGTGTCAGAGGTGGCTCACACCTCCAAACATGAGCAGAAATTTAATTGTCTTCATTACATGCCTTACGGGGAACCGACCTTTGTTCCACACCTCCCTGAGCCCCGCAGGCTGCCTTCTATTTTAAGACTGGACTTGTCATACCCAATTCTCGTCAACATGATGTTTTCTGCTTGCTGAGAAGATGCATTTTATTAAAAACTGGGTCATTTCTATTTGGCAGCTAAACAAACTTCGGTTTGATTGTTGTCTGTAACCCCAAGGGGCACACACACTCCCTCCTCACTTGCACCCAGGTGCTAACCGGGGCTGCCTGCGTGCGTGCTTCGGAGCTGAAAGGCAAGTGCACGAAGCAGTGGGGTAAGGAGGTGCCAGTCACCCCTCTGGTTCCCGCTCTGCCCCTGCTTGCAGGGTCCCATTTAATGGGAAGAAGCTGAACCCTTCGCAGCGCAAGGAACAAACCTGCCTCCAGCAGCAAGTTGCTCTGCTGTCTGTGTCGCACAGCTCTGGGTTGGGACGCAGCCCCGTGCCCCTCGCGTGGAGCCCCAGCACAATTCGATCATTTGGTGTCAAACGCGTCACTTTCTGGGTAAGTTACACCAGGTCTGATGGGAGCGGCTCTGCGAGGGATCGGCTCAGGCCTTTGCTGCTGAAGGGGACCCTGGGTCCACGCATGGTACGGCAGTGCCACGGACCGGCATCCTCCAGGACTCCAACCCCCACAACATGGATGGGAATGGACAACCTGCCTCCCTTTTCCCCAGGGATCATACCTGGTTCTCCCCGTTTCGGGATCCACGACTCTCCTTATGACACTCTGCCTTGCGTCCCATTCTTCCTTTGTCATTGGCTTCATAGCCTGGATTCGGGATTTTTGTTCATCTGTCAAAACTGGAATGCATCAGTTCGTCAGAGCCGTGCCCGTGGGGCCGGCTCCTGGCCGAGGGGCACAGCACCATGCCTGACATGAACAGACACACATGCCGCACCGGTTTCCCGGCGGTACTCGGGGTTCAGTGATGAACCACGCAAAGGAAGGGCCGCTTCATGTCCCGAAGCCAGTACCAGCTTTGCCAGTTTGTTACTGCTGACCGTGACCTTCCATCTGGCATCTTTGTTCCCTGCTCACATCTATAAACTACACCTAAATACTTCACAAATGACTCTCCGAATGTGGCTCCTTAACGTTTACTTGGTGTGGCTCGAAGGCGGCCACGGTACATAGGAGGGAGGAGCACCCGGAGCTCCTCTCTGTACACAGCCCTGCTTCCCTCAGACACCTCGTGTGCGTCCCAGGAAGGGCGACACGCGAGTGCCTTTCCCCAGCGCAACTCCTGTGTGCCCTTTCTTCAGCAGGAGGGAACCACCACCGTTACCTGGTCCAGAGTCCACCAGCGACTCCTTCTGCCACTGCTCCAGCGAGGGGCCGGGCGCCACTTCTCCCTTGGCTTTCTCCTCCTTAGCCCTTTCCTTTGACTTCTTTTTTGCTTTCTTCTTCATTCTCTTCTTCTTCTTCTTTTTGTCTTTCTGTTTCACTCGCTTTTTTTTGCTGTGTCGACTCTTCTTCGTTTTGGAGTCACTGTCACTCGAGTCATCAGAAGAGGAGCTGGAGGAAGAGGAAGACGAGGAGGAGCCGGCGGATGAAGATGCTGTCGCAGAGGAAGAGGTACTTGCCTTCCTCTTCTTTTTGTCCTTTCCTTCCTTCTTCTTTTCTGCAATACATAAGAAGAGGTTGAGTGGAGCAGCTCTGGCCCCGCGGCAGCGGGGATGCTGCTCATCCCCCTCCCAGCCTGGTTTCTTTCTTGCCTGAACAGCAAAGCCCCCAAAGCCGAGGCAAAGATCCCTCTGTGCCGACACCTTTAACACATCACAGCGTGCAGCACCACGCTGCCAGACCAGCACGCGGCGGGGCTGAAGGGCTCCGCACTTGTCAGAACGAAACTAAAATGGGCACAAAGTGCACAGCAAGGCAACAGACACCGGTTTAGCTAAAAGCAGGGACCCTCTTCTCCCACCTGGGCCCCCTCTGTGCACCCACCCCAGGAAAATGTGGTGAAAGCGCAGGGCCGCAGGCCTCTCCCCTACCTTCCCTAGCTGCCACTGAGCTCGACTTGTGTCTGTGAGACCCAGAGATCCGCTTCCTCGGAGGAGAACTGCTGCCCCGGCATGAGTCCTTGCTGCTTTTCCTCCTTTTCTTCTCCTTCCTCTCCTGCCTGCTCCGAGAATCGCTTTTGCTCCTGCTTCGCGATCGCTTCCGAGACTGGCTGTGGGCCATCGTGCGTCAGCCCCTGGGGGGGAACGGGTTACATCAGTGCCACGGGGGAGACCACCCTCGCTCAGCAGCAACGCGTCCGGCAGCCCCAAAAACCTGAAATCCAACCCTGAGCCAACCAGCCCTGGAAGACCTGCTCCCGAGTCCCCCTCTGAAGACGACGCTCATGCCTGCTCTCGATGAGCTCCCCACGTGCAGGGGTAGGTTGGGGTTACCCATCACACAGCTGTGGCTAAACTGAATTTCACCAACGCACAGAACGGAGCCCTCAGCAGAGAGCGGGGGCCGCGCAGGGACAGCACTGCGACCCCCGGGCAGCCCTCGCCCGCCTCGGGACAACCGTCTCCAAGCAGGTTGGGCGTGAAACCTCCACCAGGCTTTCCCTGCGCTTCTCGCATTTGTCCCTAGACGTGATGGACTAAGAGAGGATCGGGCCGATCCCCGCCGGGGTCGGGGTTTGCAGCTGACGCTGTGCCCCAGGGACAACCCCTGGGAGCCACGGGCCGTGATCGCCCCGTGAGGCTGGGAGCCGTCGGGAGGAGGCGACGCGCTGCACCTGCAGACGGACGCCGGCAAGGTATGATCGATGCTGCGGCAACAGTCAGCAGAATGAATTGTCCTCTCCAAGCTGAAGACGGAGTCGATCACCCCATTATTTAAAATGTCAAGAGCGGGCATGGGCCAAGGGGAGGAATGAATTTTTAATATTCCAATTTGCTTTTAGAAAACAGATTATGCATTGAGCTGGCATCCCCGTCCATCAGCCCGACCGGCTGCCAGCAGCCACAGACCAGAGACGGCATGGTATACGCTCTCATTAATTTAAAAAACAAACTGGCACCGTCGGCACAGCAGTATCTGGGAAATGCCTTCTCACAGCCACCTTCCAACTACAGCATTTAATTAATTGCACGTTTACCACCTCGACGTTCCCAAGCGGCGATTCGGTCCCAAGTGAATCGGACCTTTGATTGATTTCCAAACGGCAATTTCAATCAGAAAAAAACCAACCAAACCCCAAAACCATTACGGACACGCAGGGAAGTTTCTGAGGATGAGTCCTTCATCGACACGCACCCGGCAGCCGTCCCTCACACCAGGGCCTTGCTGGCAGGACGGCGTTTGGGTCTCGAGTCCGCTCCGGCCGTGGCCGTGGCGGCAGAACCCGCTTTTATACAACCGCGGCGACAGGGTCGACGGATGCGGAGTCGGGTGCAGACAGGAGCACCCCGGCGAGTCCGAGGCGACGCCGGGGGAAGGGGACGAGCCCCGAATCCACCGCGGCAGCACCCCAGGCTGGTCGCGCCCCAAAGCTGGGGTCTTGCCTCCGCCCTGCCGCCAGGTTCGTGGCCGCAGCGGGGCGGCTCCTCCTGCCCGCCCAGCTTTGCCCAGGCCCGGCCCTCGGCGGGGAGCCGGGAGCCCAGCTGCTGCCCTGCCCCCGCCGCAGCCGGAGGGGCAGCCCCTTCCCTCTCGCCACAACGCAGGCAGCCTGCGGCATGCTGGCTCTTTTAAGCGCTCAGCACGTGATGTGCTGGCCCTTTAAGAGCTTAGCGCAAGGTGCACTGGCCCTTTAAGAGCTC